ACTCATCATACACCACTCATCATACACCACTCATCATACACCACTGATCATACACCACTGATCATACACCACTCAACATACACCACTCATCATCCAGTTAGCTCTAGTTGCAAGAGGTCTAGCTCCAGGTAGCTCAAGTTTCAATAGCTCTAGCTCCAGGTAGCTCTAGTTTCAATAGCTCTAGCTCCAGTTTAAGTGGCAGGCGCAGCACTTTGTGACCTCCATGTGCAGATTTCGTGGCAGGCACAGCACTTTGTGAACCTCCATGTGCAGATTTCGTGGCAGGCACAGCACTTTGTGAACCTCCATGCGCAGAGTTCGTTTGCTTTGTGAACCTCCATGTGCAGATTTCGTGGCAAGCACAGCAGTTTGTGAACCTCCATGCTTCTCCGAACCTCGACGGGGAAGCTCCGCGGAACGACGGTTGCGAGACGGTCTCGGGTCATTCTCGGGTCATGCTCGGGTCATGTTCGAATCGTCCCTCCATTGTGGTTAGAGTTTTCACTTGAAGTGCAGATTTCGTGGCAGGCGCAGCACTTTATGAAGCTCCATGTGCTGATTTCGTGCACAGGACTTTGCAGATTTCGTGGCAGGCGCAATACAAAATGCGTTTTCGAGAGATAGCGGATGCACGAAATGCTGTATTTTTCAATAGAACCGGTGGCTTCGAACCTGGCAAGTCTAGCTCTGCGGAACGACGGTTGCGAGACGGTCTCGGTCATGCTCGGATCACGCTCGGAATCGTCCCTCCATTGTGATTAGAGGATTTAGTTGTTTGTTGAAGCGCAGATTTCGTGGCAGGCACAGCACTTTGTGAACCTCAAGGTGCAGATTTCGTGGCAGGCGCAGCACTTTGTCAAGCTCCATGTGCAGATTTCGTGGCAGGCACAGCACTTTGTGAACCTCCGTGTGCAGATTTCGTGGCAGGCGCAGCACTTTGTGAACCTCCATGCGCAGATTTCGTGGCAGGCACAGCACTTTGTGAACCTCCCTGTGCAGAATTCGTGGCAGGCACAGCACTTTGTGAACCTCCATGCGCAGAATTCGTGGCAGGCACAGCACTTTGTGAACCTCCATGCGCAGAGTTCGTGGCAGGCACAGCACTTTGTGAACCTCGATGCGCAGATTGCGTGGCAGGCGCAGCACTTTGTGAACCTCCATGCGCAGATTTCGTGGCAGGCACAGCACTTTGTGAACCTCGAGGTGCAAATTTCGTGGCAGGCGCAGCACTTTGTGAACCTCCGTGTGCAGATTTCGTTGCAGGCGCAGCACTTAGTGAACCTCGATACGCAGATTGCGTGGCAGGCACAGCACTTTGCGAACTTCCATGTCCAGTTTCGTGGCAGGCGCAGCCATGAACCTCTCCCGTGCAGATTTCATGGCAGGCGCAGCACTTTGTGAACCTCCGTGCGCAGATGTCGTGGCAGGCACAGCACTTTGTGAACCTCCGTGCGCAGATTTCGTGGCAGGCACAGCACTGTGTGAACCTCCATGTGCAGATTTCGTGGCAGGCACAGCACTGTGTGAACGTCCATGTGCAGATTTCGTGGCAGGCGCAGTACTTTGTGAACCGCCATGCGCAGATTTCGTGGCAGGCGCAGCAATTTGTGAACCTCCATGTGCAGATTTCGTGGCAGGCACTGAGAACTGGCGACTTTGAGTACAACTTTAGTACGCGGAGTGTCTGTGGAGCTGGAAGCTGGCGACTTTGTAGTACAACTCTAGTACGCGGAGCCAGGCGTGGAGCTGGAAGCTGAGAACTGGCGACTTTGTAGTGCAACTTTAGTACGCGGAGTATCTGTGGAGCTGGAAGATGAGAACTGGCGACTTTGTAGTACAACTTTAGTACGCGGAGCTGGAAGATGGGAACTGGCGACTTTGTACAACTTTAGTACGCAGAGTATCTGGGGAGCTGGAAGATGAGAACTGGCGACTTTGTAGTACTACTTTAGTGCGCGGAGCAATCTGTGGAGCTGGAAGCTGAGAACTGGCGACTTTGTAGTGCAACTTTAGTGCGCGGAGTATCTGGGGAGCTGGAAACTGGCGACTTTGTAGTGCAACTCTAGTACGCGGAGCAAGTCGTGGAGCTGGAAGCTGAGAACTGGCGTCTTTCTAGTACAACTTTAGTACGCGGAGCAATCTGGGGAGCTGGAAGCTGAGAACTGGCGACTTTGTAGTACAACTTTAGTACGCGGCTGAGTCATCTCTATTCTGTATTTTGCAAAAATGCATGAACAACGTTGTTTCCTGCGAGACAGTTGACGGTGGTTGCTTCGCTTTCGCTCCATTGGTCGGTTCCAACTTGTTTTGTCAAAGAACATCGCAGCTCGGCGAATCAGCCTGCCACATGCCCAGTTCCTATAGGTTTATTCTTTTGGAAACTTCCGCCGCCGGCTTGCCCGGGAACTGCTTGTATCAACCCCTGTAGCTTTGCAGAAGCAGTGTGCCAACCACCACCAAAAGCAATAGCCCCTGAAGCACAATGCCCAAGAGTTGAGTCATGAAGCCTGGCCCCTCTCTCAAACATGCCCCTGAGTTCGAGCAAGAACACACTCGAAGTCAATGGTCCAAGCCCGAACTGCTTCCCAAGTCCAGCGCTCGCTCAACGCCGCGAAACGCTCGAATTCGGATTTGACGCGCTCACGAACCTGCTGCTATCGCTTCCTTGTGGCTCTAACTCACCCACACAAGCCCAATCAATCCTTGCAATGCCCCGCACATCGGAAGTCGTACGTGTTGGTAAGATGACTTCTCGGAGGTCCTTCTTGCCTTGGTCCAATGAGTGGGTCTGATGTTGTTTTGAATGTCGGATCAGGAAAACCGCATCGCAAAGTCGTATTCAGAAACACATTTTTTGGTGATGAATATGTTCTCGTCCCTCCTGCGTCGCATACATGCGTGCAATTGTTTCTTTAGACGTTTGCGGTAACTTTGCAATTCAGAACGTTTTCTTGATATGCTGCATTTACACCTTGCGTTGTCTCTTCGTTCGTATTATCCTGCCTCCTCGTTTTTGCAGATCCTGGCGGATTGGTACCTGAGACAGGGGAAGGTGATCGTGCTTGGCGACAAGTATTATTCGGCTCAATATATGAACGACCACCCAATCAAGGGCATTGGCAACGCTGGCGCACAGGCCGATCGTTTTTGGTGCCACGGGTTTCGGGAATTTTGAGCGAAGGCGTCGCCGACGGTCGGCCGAGGCGGTCGCAAAGATGCTCCGCGAAAACCGCAGCGTTCAAGAGATTTATCTCCACGACAAGAGGATTGGGGAGATCGGCGGCCAGGCGCTTCGAATGGGGAAGGTTTGGCGAGATGGCAAGTAATTGTTCGGATCAATCTTGTTCCCCATCCAGCGCTTTAAGTTTCAATATGTTTCAATGTAGTTTTTTGCAGCTTCAGTTTGATTTCACCGCGGCGCGCAGTCCTCCAATCATCTCCAATCCCATCGTCCAGGCTCTCCTTGAAGCCCTGCGACACAACAGCCGTGTGCTTGTCATGAACTTGAACGAAAATCCCGCCATCAGCGATGAGGCTCGGAGACTTTCAACTCCAAATCCGCCGGTGAAGGCCCTGCGGTTTCACGTTCAGCCCTCCACAGGTCAAAAAGGGGATCCAGGGGCTCTTGGAAGCGAACAAGGAGGCCTCGAGCCAATTGTGCAAGTGGAGATACCTGTGGGATCACGGTTCCTGTGGTTTTGCAGTTGCACTTGTGGACATTCACTGGATTTGGAGATTTGGCAACACGAAGAAGCGTGAGTTCTATCTAGGCAGTCCGGCGGCAAAAGGAGGCAAGGAAGAAGATGTTTGACACCCTACAGTCTCCAGACTTTTGAGTTGGGGTTTGTGAAAGTGATCCATGTCAGCAGCAGTTCTCTTTTGCAAATATAGGAGCAGAGTATGATCGTAAGGAATGTCATTGAAGTTCTTGGTACTGTTTTAACATCTTTTTGGCGAATTTCATTGGGGCACTGGTCCATGTTGACCACAAGCTCGCGTAAAACAAGTTTGAGCAAATTCAACGAGGCTAGCGAAGTTCAAGAGGCGAAAACGGAAAATCTTGACATGTGGCACTGCATCGCAAGCCTGTGATCCTGCCCTCGACTGTGCTCCTCCGATGTTTGAAGGCATTCTTTGCAACTTTGAAGGAGCTGCAGCGGCTGAGTGAGGCAAATCTCGGCAGAATCTCATTTGAAGCCCGATGTTGGTGTCGTTAACAAGTTGCTTAGAGCGAAGTTTGTTGGCTCGATCGAGACTGATAAAATGCGGAGTCTGACCTCCCTTTTCCGTTACAATAAGGTTTCAGCAAGTCAGAACCCGTGTGATCAGACGTTACGTGCAAGATCCGTATCCATGTCTTGCTTCGGCGCAACCAATTTGCTTGAACTTCCAGACATTCTCCATTTGCCCTGAACTGATCGACAACTGGTCGCCCTCCGGCAGGCTAAACCGGGTATGGGTAAGTCCATCTTGGATCGGCTGGAAGGCTGGACTGTAAACACAACATGCAGCTGAAATCATGTTATGGCGGACGGTGGAAGATGCATAAAGATGGTCTTACAGCCAAGGGTGAATGCGATTTATTTCACGACTAGTTCAAAAGTCAGCCTTTGCGCCAAATTTTGTTGCTATGGTTGTGCGACTTGTTCTTGGTGTTCCACGTTTAACGTTCAAAACGTTCGCAAAGTGCCCTTAACACCTTCGACCTCCATTCCAAGAATCTAAAAATTGTGGGTTCCTGCAAGAAACCTAAATCCAACTGCGAATGTTCTGTTTCTTCCCCTTAGTAGTACGTACAGCTGCATGCACAGATTGAGCTGCAGTCACTTCCCCAAAGTCCCCCCTTGCTTCAGCGAAGCATTGGGGCAGATTGTCATCAGGCTCTATAGACCGTTGTTGCCTGACTAGGACGCTAGGAATTCTTAGTGTAGTGACGCCAGCTTGATTTGGGGTTGTATGAGAGCATGGTGTCAAGAGGTGTAGACAACAAATGAGGCCTTCTCCAAGGGTTCCTGCCACCATTGCCCTAGAGCATTGCTACAGGCACCACATGGTTTGATGATGAGTCGAAATGCCGAATTGCAACCTTGGCCGAAAAGTTGGCAACTAGATGTTCTTTGTGCCACAAATGGAAGCAAGTGGCTTGGGATTCGGAACTGCTCGGACTCGCCTGGATTCTCGTGGGTTTCGTCAGCGTGACAGCGGCTCCTTGTGTGTGGCTGGGAAAAGGTCGGATCTTCGGGCTGTGGTGCCGTGGGAATGGTGTCAGGCACACGTCCAAAGCGGCGAGATCGTGTGGGATCCCAATGTTGGCACGCGCGCCAACAGCACATTGATCTCCGACGGCATCATTCTGGCACCTCGGAGACCGTCGGCGGGCGCCCACGGGGTTGCCCACAGGGTTGTGAAGCAAGCAGGCTTTATGTTTTCCTCACCAAGGTGGCGACAGTGACGACAGCAAATGAGGAGGTGGTGCTCAGAGGCCGCCAGAGCACCAATCCTTTGCAGATAGGATGCATTTTGTTCACAATCCGTCGTATAGCAAGAAGTCAGTCTACTTAATCTACCTGGCAATCACAACATAGGCTATTGGTTAGTAGCGGGAAGCATCAAGCACATCTGCATCATGCTTCTTTGCTGTTGCTGCTCCATCGTATTGGCTCTGCCCAAGTCCACATTATCCATTTGAGAAACTGTTTTCATTTCATTAGCCACGGGTGAATGAGATACCGCAAACGATGCAAACGTTCAAGGCTTTCAAGGGAATGTTGTGAGTTGTGAATGTGTGTTCAGCACATTGCGCCATTGAACACAGTTGTTGTCAAACTTGAATGCTACGCACGGTCTTTTGACAGGCGAAGTGGACCTGGACGCAGAGCCAGCATGCATTACCTGGTCATGCTGGAACGACCTGCCTTCCGAGATTCAAAGCTTCATGTGGATCAAGGGCTGACCTTGTACAACGAGCAGGATGGGCCAAGGCGCGGCAGGGACACCTCGTGTGAACAAATCCGTATCAGGAGGCATTTGGTGTCTTCATTTGACTGCCAAGTATCACCAAGTCAGGAATTGCATTCAAGTTATTGACCAGACCAGTTTGCAGAAACAAGGGGGAGCAACAAAGGCGCCCTGCTTTTTGTGCGTGCTTTTTGGCGGCGTTTGAAACTAGATTCTCGTGGTTTTGCCTTCAGAAAGTCTGTGAGTGAATCGTAGATTGCCAACACCAGGTTTGTTTCCCGAGGAGGGCAGAAATTTCTGGGAAGGTGTTTGATTTTAAGCTTTGCACACAAATACCACAAAAACCATGGTAGGCAGTTGGTTCACAAGCAGTTAAGCATTTAAAACGACTTTCTCTAGTTTGGGATGACTTCCTTCAACGCGTGATTTCCAAACGGATGTCGTTAGCGTTCGAGGCCTGGAAAGGCTCCAGCCAAACCATACTTTGGCCTTTGCCCTTGACGACTACCACAAATGAATATAGAGACTCATGTGGTTTCGTATCGACACAGAGGAGTCCTCTTTCTTGGGCTCCATTTCTGCCGAGGAGCAAGAAGCTACTAGGCGCTCCTGGCCTTACTACTAGGAACAAGGACGCTACTAGTTTCTGCCGGAGTGACTGGAGAAGATTTCTTCGACCTTCGTTTCTAGCTGCCGCAGCCCTCGCGCTCGGCCGTCCACGGACGGTCAGATAGACCGGTGTTTCGCTCGGGCAAAAAGGGACGCACGGCGGAGTCGCGGTGGGCTACAGCAGGACATGGGACATGGACTCAAAGAAATGGTCACAGACAGTGATTAAAGTCCTCAATCCTTTCACAGTTGTGTGTCCATTTGGTCTATAAGACTATCTGTTCGCTGGTAGTGTACAAAGTCATGAGAACTTCAGAAAACTACAGGCTTCAGAAACAAGGTGTTTTTGAAATGCGTTACGGGCTACTTGTGTTCGTTGGGTTGGCATCATATTCAAAGAGTGTTCTTTTCGATCAAGGCCAGTTTTCGACCTGATGGGTCAAAGACTTCTTTTGACATTCAAGCCACGTTGTTTTGAGACGTTTTTTGCTTCTCTTTTTGTAGGACCAGAATGGAATGAATCGTTTGGATTGAGTGATCATTTTCCTGTCATGCACTTCGATTGGATGAGATAGTTTGATCCCAGACTTTTCTTTAATTTGCCGGAAATGCAAGACCGATGCGTATGCTCACAACACTTTTTCTCAAGCTGAGGGAGAGCATCATAGTTAGTGTGACATTGGTATCTCAAGTAGGAATGACAAGTGCGACAAGTGCCAGTTCTGCAAGTGTTCTGCAAGGTTCGTTCCTCCACTTCACTACTTTGCACCACTTACAGGCATAACTCTGATGAGAACTGTTGGTTTTTCATGCAGTCACCTTACAAAACCAACATGCGTACCACAGACTACAAGTCGCAACAATCTGGCGCAAGAGGCGCTGTTGAAAGCGAGCTCGGGTAGCGGTGCGCTGTGAGACCAAGCTGGATGGATTCAGCCTGATGGAGACCGATGCCGAAGAAGAGCTTTGACGCTCAGCCCGCCTCAGTCCAAGCCCGATGATGTCCCAGTGGATTCCAGGAATTTCACCAAGTATAAGAGGAATCAGGGGCCCTCGTTCGGTTTTAGTCTTTGGAACCACTGGGTACCGGCTACAGTGGCAACTGGATCCACTGGATATGAAATTGACCCAAATCAGTGGTTAGATTGGCAGCTAGCTGTGCATTGATACGTCGTTCTCCTCAAATCAAGTCTCGTTCACCTCCAAGGCCTGTCAGTATGGATGACCAGCTTTTCTCCGAAACCGCACATGACCCAGAAAGAGAGAGTTCTCAGCTCGATGTGTGGCACATTGAGATGCCATGTCGCTCTGGAATCCTTTTGAATGCTTTTGCTTCCCGTGTCATGTACATGCCTTCCCGAAGACTGAAGCCAAAGGGGCTCTTTCTGACCCAGCGTGACCTTTGCCTCAGCAGTAGTAACGAGAAGCTAGTAGTAACAGGTGCCACGCTAGTAGTAACAGGTGCCTTACTAGTAGTAACAAGAAGCTCAGATTGTTCCTCCGAAAAGACCCACCTCTCAGGCTGCATTGTCTTCGAGCGCGGACGCCCGGGGCCTTAGACCGACGCCGAGAGGACGGCGCGTCCGGCCTGACCGGCTCGTTCGCTCGGTGTTTTTTGCTTCAGAGGGATAGGTTTCGGTTCCAGACCAAAATCTGTTTATTTGTTTCGTCTCGTCACAATTCGTCGGGATAGGATGGGCTGAGAGAACTCGAAAATGTTGCCTTTGATGAGGAGACGTCCGTATTCGGGAGGATATGACATGTAGTCACCACCCTTTCTCGTCCAACTTGTCAAAGGTCATGTTTTTTGGCATTCGTTCCTGTCCAAAAAAAGGCATTCCACGACCCCATCCGGATTTTTTGAGGCACAGTTGAAGGTCATCTTTGAGAACTTTGAGGACCAAACCCGGCGCGAAAATGAACCTTCACTGGAGGAAATGCGGATCATGCAGGAAGCCCTGTTCGGTGTCCCTTTTCGGCTTGAGTCCCATTCATTGCAAGCTGATTTCCGTTTGTTTCAGACACGTCAGACCACAGTGACAACTTGGATGGTCGCAATGTTTTGTCGGAAAGTTTCTGCATGCAGAAAGGATGGTTTTGACATGTCTTGACCATCTCTGCTCAATGGCACCTTGTGTGCTTTTTACGTGATGTCATTCTTGTCCAGGATCCACCTGGCTATATGAATGCCTGCCATTTGGCGGATGCCATGCGCGCTGCCTCGATGAATCCAAAGGATTCCGAGGCAAAGTCCTTGTTGTGCTGTTTGCTTCTGGAGGTTTGCATGGAAAGCAATTGTTTTGCCAATGTAGTTCTTTCAACATGTAACGAGAGTTTTTGACATCAAAATTTAGGCAGATTGGTGATTGGTGTGTTTGTTCCACAAGCCATCCTTTGAGCGTGTTTGTGGTCGTCAAGCTTCTGAGCTGTGGGTCAAAAGCTCCGCTTTTTGTTGTTGGAACTTCAAGGGTTGGATTTTCTGTGACCTCTCAGAGAAGCAGCTCTTCTCTTATTCGGAGCACGTCTGAGACAAAAAAGGCAGCTGCACCAAGATGCTGAAGCAAAGTGCGCAGGTGGCGAAAGAAAGCCAGAGGTCTTCACCTGGTCAATCTTCCTTCGTGCCATGAAGGACGCGACTTTGGAAAAGGACGACGGATGGACCTAATATGACTTGTAGCAAAAGGTGCACACACACAGAAGCTGTCACAGACAGGGGATTCCGAGTATTTCCGTCTCTCATGGTTGCTCACTTCTACCCTTGCACAGCTGGATGGCCAAAGAAGTCCACCTGACCTTGCATCGCAGGAAGCACTCAAGGAGTGGTCTTCCAAGGACCAGGTGCAGATTGGGAAGGACAGGACGGATGGTGGATGACTGATTTCATTCAATTTAGGTTTCAACAGAATCAAGAAGAAGGATTGCGCCACTTCGTGAAGTGACGCGCTGTTGCTTTGCTTTCAAAAAGCACATTTCTAGGTGGAAGAACTCCGAAGATGCTTCGAGATCTTCGATACCGAGAAAACAGGTGTCTTGCTGGGACCACTGGTCGGAGCATCGTGAAACTTGCACGCCATCCTTTAGATAAAGGATTGTATAAAGGCAAATCAAGAGGCATGAAACAAATTCTGATTTGGTTTGGTAGCTGTGAGCAGCTTGAAGCATCGCATATCAAATCATGGGGAATGTGAACGCTGGCGAGTTGACTAAAGTAGCTGGTGGAGGTTTCCTGACTCGGGAGAAGATCACTGAGATCATGCGCTTCGATGGTCGGATTCTTTGCGCTTAGGAGCTTTGCTCCACATGTCGCTTGCATGTCTGCCTTTCGCCCAACATCCCCGAGGCAACAGCTTTCCAGACGAGAAGTTGGAGGAGACTTGTTTCAGTTTTGTGCTCGTTTGTTGTCCTGCTCGCTTGAAGACTCCAGTTCCCCTCAGAACCATGGATAGCTTCCCTTTGAAAGTCATGCAGCTAATTTCTACGCAGGCGTTGCTGGAGAATGCACCCTTTAATGGCTGCTTGACTAAAGGAAATAGTTGCTGGCAGAAAGACAAACGATGGCACTCCTGACTTGAAGCACATGGATTCAACATTCAGAACTGGTTTGGTGGCTCATTCAACTTAAGTGTTGGCAAGGCAAGTGAACAGTTGCAGGATTTCTCCGGTTCTATTCTGCCTCTTGCGCTTTAGTCAGCAGGTGTGTTCTCGACTTTGCCATGCATCTGCCTTTTTTTCTCTCAACAAGCCATCCGACATAGTGAGACCGAAGGGCATGTGTTGTCCAGACCACCAGGTCTCAGCGTCACTGAGGTCAGGGCTATGACTATTCCTACATCATGTGCTACCTCCTGGGACCTGGGGCACCGAAGATGCCAGAAGCTCCAGAGGCCTGGCTACTCATGCTTGCTCAAGCTGGACCGTTGTCAAATTCATAGCAAACATACATACTAGAGGTTGTTTAAGAGGCTTGAGGTTCCTGTCGCAAAGTTAAGCCACTGGAGGAGAGCCACACCATTTCACTAATTCACTGCCAATATGTTGATGCTTGAACAAAAGGAGAGAAAAGGGATAAGAGAGAAACCAACGCAAGCCGGAGAGCGACCCATGTCGTCAAGAGCTGCCAGGGGAGAGGGCAAGGAGGGAGGGAGGAGATCAGTGAGGATCAGGAAAAGAAGGAAGTAGGCAGAGGAGGATCAGCATCCATCATGTCGCATGTGCACATGCACTTTCTTTATGTGTCCGTTTCGTCTTCTTGTTTGTTCAATTTCTTGGTTCCAATCAAGGGGGCTTCAACTTAGCGCGCTCGCTGTCCACAAACTACACGTTGGCCTTCAGCAGGCTCGAAAGCACACATTTACGGTGAAAGGAAGATGAGCAAGCAAGGGAGCATTCAGCCACCATGGTGGCTTAGCTCCTTTCAAAGAGGGCAGCAACAAGACAGCGGTTGCAGGTGTCAAAAGGGAAATACCGCTTGGTTCTTTCAAGTATTGTTGCGCATGCTTTAAAGGCGTTCTAATCTTCTTAGTTGCAGCGTCTTTTGCCCTGTGGCATTTGCAGCGAGGTATCTCAGAGACATGCTATGATGCCGAACGACGCAGAATTGGGAATGCTTCAGGCAACTAACGGTTTTTCTTGATGAAGTCCTGTCGCATGCGGCCAGTGGCACTGACTCTGTGTAATCCTTTTTGCCGAAGGACAAAGGAGCTGAAGCAATGATTGAAAACATCAAAAGGAACTTGGAGGATGCTTGGATGCAGCACTTATCACGCGACGGTCATGCAAGATATCACAGTCGTCCAACCTATAAACAACTCAGGTTCCAAAGGTATTCTGTTGACATTGGGTGCCCTCTGAGTTTTTGAAGCGTTTGTCCCATCAAACAGAATAGACCGCCGAATGGAAGCTGTGTTGCGTGGATTGCCGTGCCTTTGGATTTGGCACTGATGATGTGTTGCTGTGCTGCAAACATGCCTTCAAGGCCTCTTTGCGTGAAGAATTTGCGACGGAAGTGACACAATTGCAGGACATGGTCTTCAGCAGCGTGGCTTTTTTGTCCCTCTGATTCAACTACAGAACCATTAGGATGATCCTGGAGTGCGGGTATATAAATCTCTGAGGCCTGCAATTGAACACGCATTGGTTGACATGTTCTTGAGCTTGAGGAAGCATTGCCACCTTTGGACCACCTTCCTCAAATAACTAACTAGACAGCAGGGAAGTGGTTACAAGTTCGCACGCTGCAAAACTGAGTGAGGAGCAAGTGGACATCCTGAAAAGGCAACTTCAGGAGGTCCTGCTCTTTGTTCATGAGAGGGTGATGCTACCATCGAGTCACGAATTTGGACATAGTTGAAGATGCATTGGAAAACTAGCTCCCTACTTCTGCGTCCTTTTTGTAGGCCCAAGAACAAGCAGAAGCTGCAGAGGCTGTGGGCCCTTCTGCAATAAGAGACATGTTGTTTTGGATCTGGATACCGTTGTAAGTTGGGCGTTTCTTGCTCCGTTAGGAGTTCGGAAAGAATCTCCAGCACGAGCTTGTTGAAATGCTTATACTGATGCTTGTCACTGGATTCAATCCAAGTGGTCATGCTCATCTCATCCTGATGCCATGATGCAATGTGTGGTGATGCTCTCTTCCTCCCGACTCTCTCGCCGCACAAGTTTACGATGCAGAGCACCCCGCCCCTGAACTCTCCCGAGTTTGCAAGGGCGCTCAGCCTCACGACGCACGAATTTGGAAAAGCACACCAGAACTGAGGTGCATCAACATAGCATCGAAGCAAAGCAACAACATATGTGTGCCTTTAAGATCAGATGCTGTTGTTGTTGACCTTGTTGTTCAAAGTTCGATCCATTCAAACCTTTTGCTTCAGTGTGCTGAAAAAAGCAAGCTACGCTGCCGGTTGCACATTCGCATCCTGTCACGGGGTGTAGCCGCAAGCTGATGTGTCCCTCGGCTGAATTCTGCCGTATGCGCACACTTGCTCTCATATCGAGCAACCATCATCAATAAGGTGATCATTCATCTGACATGTACCCGCCATGCAACCTGCTGTACCATGCTGCCAAATCACACCATGCCTTTTCTTATAGCTATGAGTTTGGAATGTGCGTCGCCTGACTGCGGATGAAATGCAAAAGAACTGCCTATCAGGCGTCGACCTTAATCTTTCCCAAAAATATCAAGAAACCATTTGCCATATCGCATGGGAACCCAGTGCAGCGCCTGAAGACAAAGGGGTTGTCAATGGAGAGCCCCTGAAGAACATCCAACCCGTAGAACCACAAGCGTGTCCCAATCTTGTTTCCGAGTTGGCAAACAGAGCTCCTTTAGCACCACGTTCTTTTCCGAAGCCAGAACTCGACTCTCTTCAGGCGCGTCCTAAGCGGTATACCCAGTGCCTGGCAAGTATCCCTGGTGTAGACGTATCCCTGGTGTCTCAAAGGCGGACCGCAATCAAAGGCTGCTTCTTTGCCGCGCGACCAGCGAAGCCACCCAGCGGTCTGTTCGCAAAATGAAGGAAGTGAATGCAAACTACTTGATTCTGCAACTTTTGAGTTTCTGCAAAAGTTCTGGAAGAAAAGCTACATGATTCACGAAAGGCCCTGGATTCAACACGACATGGATTTAGAAACTCTGAACACTTGAGCCGATATGCATCCAATGATTATCACAAAGAAACTACCCATGAAATCTTCCCCAACAATAGTCGCCTGTATTAATCGTAACATCGCAACTTTGTCATGGTATGGCCTGATATGGCACGCAAGAGCCTTCAAAGCTACCCTCACAACAGCATGTTCGGTCCAGGGTGCTGAGGTGTCCAATCGTTCCCACTTTGAACAACATGAAATCAAAGATTGCTCGAGACAGCAGTTGATTCCCAGCGTCAGCCTCAACAGACACCCAGGCTGGCACATAAAGCACAAGACCTCAAACAAGACCTGTAACATTGTTTTTTCACGTTTGTCAGATTCAATAGAGAATCCACATAACAGGCCACCACAATGTTGTTTTCTGTTGCAGCAGATAGAATCAGTTGGAACATCACAGTGTGTGGAAGTACATTTGCAGATTTTGCATGCTTTGCCAACAGTGGCAGGAAAAACGTGCGAATGAAGAGCTGAAGAGAAAGAAACTGGAGGAATGCACTTGTAAAGTGTGTGCAGAAAGGAAGAAGATCAGACACTACTATATAATTTGTTCAAATTCACATCTCAAGTGGGTAACATTTGCTGAATTGTCACATCCTAGTTCGTAAGCCACAGCGACAGGAAAGACTTGCGAATGAAGAAGGAGGAAGACAATTGCTGGAGGAGGTGGGTTCAAAAACCGGCCAGTTTGTGAAGGCTTTCTGGGAGCGGATGACAGTCTCATTGGTGAAACAAGCGCTACGCAAGTGCACAGGTGTTCGTTTGGTTTTTTTTGGTTTCACTCCTCTATGAGGCATGCTTTTGTCATGGCTTGTCCGCTGTCATAATTTTGAGTCTCACATTTCTGTCTTGAATCTACTCGTCATATGTGTCCTTTTCATCCATTTCTTCTTCCCCGTGGCCTCCAGCATGATCTCAAGTTGATATGGGTTCTGGGCGTAGTGAGGAAGTCTTCCAAATCTGAAATGTTGTCCAGGCGGTTGCAAGACATCGATCTGTCTTAATCTTTCGATTGATTCTTCCGTCTTCTTTGATACTCCTGAGATGTGATTTGACTTGAATTTGCTGTAGCTTGGATAGCCACCTTTGTTCTATCCTCAGCCTCGGTTCATTTTCTATCTCACTGCCGCTGCGCCTTTGTCGAGGTTCTGTGCGGGTTCTGTTGGATGTAATCGTCTCGGTCTTCATGTTCCTCATTTTGCCTTCTCCTTATATAGCTCTCGCTATCTCTCTCGCTATCTCTCTCTCTTGTGTCCTTTCAAGCCCCCCTTTTGAGCTTCCGTCGAACCCTCGCTCGTGCTTTGGTCTTTTTAGACTCTCTTCCGTAACTCTTCTCCTTTTGTGCGTCTCAGCCTCACCTTCCTCCACGAGCGTCTCTCTAGCCCTTCCTTTTTGAGGATCTATTCCGTTCTTCAGTCATTTCTCTGCCGCATCCTCTCATTGCCTCTTCTGTGTATGCAGCTTCGACATTTAGTGCAACTCTGCATGTTTCTCAGGCTGCTCTCAAGAGTTCTCCACGCATGGAGATCAAACAGATTACACTTTGTTGTAAATTCGGTGTTTGATGCAACCGAAGTGTTCTCTATAGGGATCAAGGTCGTGTTTCCTTTTCTATCTCGGAAGCAGGAGCAGGTACACATAATTAGTGTCTTTTGCTTTGAAATCTCTGAGTAATTGTGGACTCGCTGCATAGATGCCTTCGCTTTGTGCTCTATGCATGCTCTTTGAGCCGCCCTCCTCATTCGTACATTTCCTCGTGTTCTACAAACTGTCTCAACCCGATCCGCCACTGAAAGGGACACGTAAGGTCCTGATAAAGCAAAACGCATGATTTCCTTCCTTTCTCACACTTGTCCAAGATGACAAAGGCTTGACCATTTTTGGGCAACTTCGCTTCCTTTAAAGCCCTGGTTCTTGTCCACGGGTGTTGCCTTGACAATTCTGAGTTTGTCATACTTGCCATGTCTTAAATGACAAAGCACCTTTAGACCTCGCCACTCTCCAATGAAGCCGAATCGCGATGTTTGAAACACAATCCTTTGTGGCTATCTCCTCCTCCAAGTTCATGTCCTCAGTGCCAATTTGACTGAGTTTTGAACCTTTACACTATCGGCCGGGCGCTTCCGCATCAGTTCTATTATGATGTTGGATTGCGTGCGCGGATGTCTAGAGGGTGGGATGCGCTTCACTCGCCATGAGTGTGGGGGATCACTCAGATGGGCTAGGGTCAGTCTCATTTCTCAGATCGAAATGTTTCTGAAAATTGCATCTTGCCAGCCCAAGCAGTGGAGGTCTCACGAGAAGACTGGCTCAGAAGAGTCCAAAGGAACGGCTTGACCCTGCGATTGGTGCCAGAAGAGTTGAAAGATAAGAAGATGGTCATGGAAGCAGTGCAGCAAAATGGAATGGCTTTGCAAGCCGCACCTGGTGCTTTGAAAGAGGATAAAGAAATCGTCACAGCTGCGGCCCGGAGCAACTGGAGGGCGTTTGGATTTGCGGGTGAAGCAATGACCGAGGATCCGGAGATGAAAGCAACTTGGATTTGTAGTGAGAGACTCCAGGCATGTTTGTAGCATCAGACCTTATAACAGACCTAGCCTGAACAACTGTTTTGTCCGAATCACACTTCCGGCCCAAGGTCTTTGCGCGCAAGCTGGAGTTGCTTGAGCTATTCCAGAGAGAACGGTATGGGGAGACTGTGTTTGAGGCGGCCATGAAGGAGTTGGAGAATGACAGGGACGTAGCCTTGGCCGCCGTGCAAGGGAACGGCGATTTGTTGCGGTTGGCAGCTCCGGAGTTGAAGGCCAACAAGGCGATCGTTTTGGCCGCAGTTCGACAGAAAGGATTAGCGTTGGAACATGCATCAGATCACTGGAAGAGGGACAGAGAGGTTGTTCTGGCAGCAGTCAGGGAAGATGCCAGGGCTTTAGGTTCTGTGCCCGAAGAATTGACGATGGAGAAAGAATTCATCATATCAGCCGTGCAACAGAATCCGTTTGCCTTGCAATATGCATCGAAGGAATGGAAGGCAAACAAGGATGTAGTTTTCGCAGCCGTGGAGATATGTGCTACTGCCTTGGAATTTGCATGTGAAGACTTGAGGACAGACGGTCAGCTCGTTGCGTCCGCAACACTGCATCGCTTGGCAACGTGTACCAGTGACAAGGCTTTCATGCTGGAACTAGTTCAAGTTGGGGGTTTTGCCCTGCAGGTTGCGCATCCTGAATTGAAACGGGACAAGGAGGTGGCGCTGGCCGCAGTTCAACAACATGGCAGCGCGTTGGAATTCGCGGATGTTCAGTTCAAGCAGGACAAGAAGATGGTCTTGGCCGCAGTTCAACAACATGGCAGGGCGTTGGAATTCGCGGATGTTCACTTGAAGGCAGACCCAGAAGTGGTCTTGAACGCAGTGGTGAATGAGATTACGGCCTTGGAATTTGCGTCTGATGAGTTCAAGCAGCACTCAGTGGCTTAGCAGCCAAGATTCATTCATTGATGTCCATGTCATTTTTGGAAGGAGCAACAAAGGAGACCTTTGGTATGTTGTTGTCACTTCTTTTGAAGGTTTGACATGTCTATACAACTTCAGAGCTGCTTTGTTGCGTGCGCGTGCGTTTTTCTCACCCAGCTCATTTCCCACAACTTTGGCGCAACGTGCACTGTTGTTGCGAAGGTGTTGCCAAGATTTTAGTGGGTCGACGCCGATTTTAGCCCCTCGTGCAATGCATTTTTGCGGGCGAACCACACAACCCTCCCCTGAACGAACCACAGCTGAACTACTTGCAGTATGGACTTGTGGTCCAAAGGGTCGGTTTGCCTATGTTGTTTTCTGTTGTTTTTGTATGGTAGCTTGGCTATTCTCTTTTGTGGATTGGTTTGAAGGCTTGAAGTGTCTTGGCTTTTCCTGGCGTCTTTGGTTGTGCGTCTTGGCGTTTGATGGCTGAGTGGCCCGTTGTCAGGCAGTGGGAATGCCTCTTGCGCGGAAAGCAATATCATTTAACAATCCCCTTGGCAATAAACACTGGAAAATTGGGGACCCTGGGTGCCCAAAATCAAGGGCATTTTATAGAGAAACATGGTTCTTATGTGCATTTTTGGATCTAAAATTAGTTCCCCTTATAAAATGTTAAAAAAAACAAGCTGTTCCTAGATATTCAACATTTTTGGATATCAGTCTTGATTTTATAGAGAGTGTGGACGAGTAAAGTCGATGATATATGAGGAGGGTGGGTGCCCCAATTTTAGAGAAAAAAACATCAATTTTATAGAGACGTCATTATGATGCTCTGAATTCTTGATTTTATAGAGAAGAGATGACTAGACATCAAACAGTCAAGAAACTGGAATATGGACAAGCTACAAGAAAAAATGCGTTGTCAATTTCACTTCTGCAATTTGATGTCTGTGCTGCACTTGGCTTTTGTGCATTTTACATTCTTAGGCATGGCGCAAACATCGGATGTATATAAACGGAGAGTTGTCGGACAGAAACGGAAAAACCGTGGTCAAAACATGTTGAACAATGTTATGTGCACTGTTTTCTCTATAGAATCAGGGTTCAGGGTAAGGCCTATTTTGGGTACACTCGAGTCATTTCTCATGTCGTTCCTGATTTCATAGAGAATTATTTTTAGACATCTCGATTTTAAGCTCGAGGGTGGGTGCCCACATTTTATTTTATAGACTACCCATTGTGGGGTTGAGGCTGGTTTGATCGTTGTATAGAGACTTTTGGTGCACCTCTCAAGTGAGTTCTCTCTAAAATTGGGACCCCCAGCCTCCACTGGAATTCACACGGGGATATTTAACACAATATCATAGCACTTGGCTCATACATCACAATCCAATTTTAAAGTCCAAGTCCATACATCACCATATCGTTTTATGTATCATGTGACATGCATCGTATATCATGTCATGTTCATGATCATTTCAACTCATATGAAGGGAAATGATTTGGTGTGAATGTGCCTTACTGCCAGACTCAATGATCTGTGGCAACAAAACTAACAAAGTTGATTAACACATGATGTTGAAAGATGCCAGAGGTGGTTCTTAGGGTCCAAGGTGGGTGCTTCTAGAACTTGTGGACCCACCTCCTTTCACGCCACAGCTTCATCTCGCCCGAAAAGCATTCTGAACCAACGACCCAGAGCACTAGGGCCCCGCACTGCGAGAAATATGGGCAGCTTAGAATGCTCTTCATCGTTTCAAAGCCCCCCATCAGCCCGAGGGAACAAGCTATAACTTGAAGGGCACGAGGGCGAAGAAGAAGTCAGGTTGTTTCGCTTGATTTGGTCGGTTCCGTTCTTTTTCGCTGCGGCTCGTCGCAATTCCGGTTCGTTGTCAATGAAACTCACGTGTTTTCGGTTCGGCTCGCGGTTCGGGGTTTGCGGTTCGGTTCAGCACCCACCCCGATATTGTCGAATGTGTAGGGCCATTTGCGCGCTTTGGGAGACCAAACTTGCCTTTAAAGTTTCGGCCATCATTGGCCACCTTCTCTTTCCCGGCCAGCACACTTTTCCGAGGTCTTCATCCAGCAGCTGAAGGGAGACATGATTTCTTTACTCTTGAAGAGAGATGGCGAATTTGGAAAAGTCTTTGGATGTGGTGTCCTCGAGAAGTTCCTTTCAAACCACTCGGAGGAGAGGGTGAGGAACAAGTCACGCAGGGCCTTGCAAGACAAGGACGTCGTCCTGGCCGCTGTGTCACAGAACGGCTGTGCCTTGAGAAATGCCGCAGAGGAGTTGAGGGCGGACAAGGACTTTGTCCTGGCTGCTGTGTCGCAGGACTGCCGTGCCTTGCAATATGCCGCAGAGGAGTTGAGGGCGGAAAAGGACCTTGTCCTGGCTGCTGTGTCGCAGGACGGAAGTGCCTTGAAATATGCCGCAGAGGAGTTGAGGGCGGACAAGGACGTTTTCCTGGCTGCTGTGTCGCAGGACGGGAGTGCCTTGGAATTTGCCGCA